TATGGAGGGGATAATAATCAATGTAATAAAACAAGCCATATGAATGGTTGAATTTGAAGCTGATGATGTGCCCTGTAAACTTTCACTCAATCCAAAATAAAAACATTTAACTAAAAAAAGAGTATTAAAGAGTATTAGGGTCTGAGGCTGGAATTTTAGAAGCCATTCAATAGCCTCTGAACAAGTTTTGAGCGAGAATACAGCCCCTTTCTCTGTGGAGAGCCCAAGGATGGCTAAAAGAACATCCACACAGAGTTTGATACATGGGTCAGATCTGGAGCTCAGGAGAAAGGTGCGGATTAACAGTGAGCTTTGGAGGTCACCAGGGAGTAAATGGAAGCCATGAGACTGCCTCGGGATATTAAGTAGAGAAGAAGGTCAAGGACAGAGCCCGATTAAACCTGAAACTTTGGTTTCAGCGTTGGCAGCTCTATTTGCCATTACCCAAAAGTTGCCAATGCCTATTGAATCTCTTTAACAAGTCTTTTCCCCACACTAAAGCAAGAGCATACACAAATTGGTCCCAATGCCTTCACTGTCTTCTGGTTAGCACACCTCTACCTTAGCATAGTATTCAGTATGCCATTTTCTTACTCATTCTACCCTGTAAGACAAGCAACAATCTTCTCATTTTTCAGATTAAGAAAGCTAATGCATAACTTAAGTAAAAAATGGGTAAGAAAGGGTATTCAGATACAGTTCTTTCAACTTCAAAAGCCCTTGCTTTTACCATCTCACCATGTTCTTTTCTAAACAGAATTTATACCTTTTTGTATACGGATTATACTGGGCATTCCCTGTCCCAAGAAATCTAACAATAAAAATATCGATCAGAATTCACATTTCCTTTCAAAATATTAACTACTATAGATACCCTTTTCAAACACACTGCCTTCTTTTTAACCCCTGCAATCCAGATGAAGGAAAGTATTATAATTCCCATTTTTAGATTTAAAAAAAATCAAAATTTAGAAAAGAAAAATGACTTGCCTATTATCAAACAGTGGGTCATTAGTAGTAGAGGAAGATGTCAAATTTGGGTGTAACTCTACAGCTCATGCTCTACACATTTCAGAACATTCATTGTCTTATGGCCCTGCCCCTTTCTCTGCCTCCAGAGACTGACCAATATGAAGATCATCATTTCTTGCTAGCTTACCTTGCATTTGGCCAATAGTCAGATCTTTATCCAGCCTATCAACACCTAGAACAAAACAAGAGAATTCTTAACTAGCGTCACTAAGAAAAGACCCTAGGAAAAATGTTTCATTGTCTAAGTATTAAGTAAAAACTGTAAAAGTGTATTAAATTACAAAGCTATAAATGTGATGAACATTGTCAATTCCTATTAATGCCAAGGCTAACTCCCAGAGTGTATGTTCTCACCAGATCTGTCTCTTAGGCTGAGGCTCCCTACACTCACTCTGTTCATTTAAAATGGCTTCTGAAAACAGGGTTTTTACTTGTGATACTTGCATTGTTCTCAGAATAGTCTCACAGCACGGTAAGTAGCTCTAGAAAGACTTGGCCTTGGGCAGGCATACGGGATAAGGGGCCAGGTGGATGGTAATGCTGAGTGAGGTGTAGGAATTTGATAAAGGGAGGAGAAACAGCCCCAATGAGTGAGGATGGCACCAGACTCATTTGGTGAGGAATTTTAACAAGGATCTGTCTAGGTGACCATATTCCCATATGTACATACTTACCTGCCAAGAGCAGCAGTTTAGGAATAGGACAACTGAGAAACAGATTGGATAAACCTCGGAACCAGCCATCCCAGTACTTTTCTGTTTTTGCCAGTTCAATTCTCCAGGTGTATGGATGGTCTTTCTTGGTCTGGAGGATTAAGAATAAGTTCTGAGTTTCTGAGGGCAACCCCTGGAGCAACAGGATAAAAACTAGGCATCCTGGGATAAGGAAAGGGAAGAAAACTAGCATTTTTTAAGCGATTACTGTGACCCAGACATTTTACCATAAATTTAATCCTCATAATAGCCTTGCAAGATAGGTTATTACAATAATTTCCACTTTTAGAAATGTATTTACTTTTTACTTCTAGTAAAAGTTTTCATAAACTTAGAAAACTTTTTGAAGATCACAAAGCTCATAAATGGTAGAGCCAAGAGTGACCTTTTCCTTATCCAGTAGGTAAAATAAGGATCTATCATAAATAGGGTAATTACAAAGAGCACAGTGCAGTATGAAATACTTATGACCTGAGTATAAAATGACATCGAAGTTATAACTACTACTGAAAAAAAATAGTATTCTTATGGGACAGAACTAGAAGGGAAAAGTAAAATAGGTTTAATTGTTGGTAGAGCCTTTTTCCTTATATTTTGATTTATGATAATGATATAATATTCCTGCACAGTAGGAAATATGATACAAATATAACAAAATGTCAACACCAGCTATGACTTTATAGTTGGCAAAGAATAGCAGATACTGGTTGAGCAAATAAATGATTCTCTATACTTTTATGTTCTAGTAGTAATTAAAACATTTAAAATAGTATAATTGAGATAAATAACTAGGATACTGCATATGGTAATCTATAAGTTAAGACAAGACAGCAACACTTTGTGTTAAAGGGCACTCGATAGAGTCAGGAAACATGAATCTTCTAGTCCTATCTGTCACAGATTCCTTCCCTTCTCTGGGCTGGATTTCTCATCACTAAAAAGAATAATAAAGGCACCTTATGACACTAATGTTCTCATTAAAAACTTCTTCTATTTTTTTCTACTGGTATTTTCTGGACACAGCAAACATTAAAGTGAATTCTAACTCCCATTTCAACCTGGAATCTCAGCCTGTCTTATAGCCAGGCAACACTTTCATTTATGAGCCATTTCTATCGTCTGAGATAGGACATCATTTTATAAGTCCTTTCCATGTATACAGTGAACTTTATATGCAGATGAAAAATTCAAAGTAACATAACTTCCAAAGGTAATATTTTACAAATAAAGAGTTCGTTTCAAGCCCTAAAATTTGTAAAAACAAAGAAAAAATTCGAGAGAGCATTAGAATTGTTCCTGTATTTAAGGCACTGAAAATAAATGCTTCTCTGGAAAGTGGTTAGTGCTAAGAAGGAAACATTTTTTAAAAATAATTTTATAATATAGCCATGTATCCATCAGACAGGAAGAGAGGGACAATAACACAAGCAAAGAGAAAATGGTGATGGACGCTGGCAGTGTGGATGGATCTGTGAGCTGACAACAATGTCTAGCAATTACTGCAAAGTTGGACCATAAGGTTAGTTTAGTTTAGGTGCTCCCTGCTGACAAATGGTAATAAAACAGATTAATGTACAGGTAGTCTCTAGTTATGCATGAAATCCATTCCTGTCTTTCGGTCTTAAATCGGAATTTGTAGGTAAGTCAGAACAGACAGATGTGGTTGTTCTTTAGCCTTACTTTAGTGCAAGAAAAGGCTTGAAGCCTATTTAATGAGTTAAAAGCAGTGTGTGCAGCAAGTGAAGGTGATTGTTATGAAGAATTTGTTTTGAGTAGGGGCTAGTTCAATCTTTTCAAAGTGAGCACAAATCTGTATAACATTAAAGGGTGAGTAGAAAATTGTTTATAAATCTTCCATTCATAATCTGGGGACGCCCTTTAATGAGATCTAGTTGGTGGGAAGGAGAAGCAGTAAGCTGGTCATCAGTCTTCCTGGGTTGTTAAGCTGGGCAGGATGCAGTTTTCCATCCAAGGGTATATACCAGGGGCCTCACAATATCTCTCAATGCCTCACTTGAAAAGTGTTTAAAAACACAAGCTTTGTGTCAGTCAGACCTGACTGAAAGCACATCACAGTTCCATCTTTACCTGTGGATCCTCTGGGAAAGTTACATAACTTCTTCACATCTCTGTTTTCTTGCTTTGGAGAACCTCTGTTCTCTAGAACATCTAACGGTGGATGAAAAGAACACCACCATCTCTCCTTCCATAACCACACACACTGGGAACCATTTTGTACCCATCCTTCCAAGAATGCAGGCCTTCACCCACCTCCATGTCATCTTCCTTCTTCCTCTTGTTTACCGATTCACTTCCTTCTTCATCTTCTTCTTCTTCCTCTATGATTCCTTCCACTATAGATTTTGAACCTTCTGGACTTGTAATTCCTTCACACCTAGGTTTTTTAAAAAATGCTATCATATATCTCTCTTTTATAATACAAATTATCTTAGAGATAGTAATACTTAGGACCTTTTATAATCAAATATTAGCACTTCATAGTGCTCCTGGAAGAAGGCAGATGTAGGCACATTTAAAAGTGTACAAAAGTAAACAAATGCTGTGGAAGACTATGGCCAATGTATAGTATACTCGGGTTTCTAGTTCTTTCATCAATACTGATCCATAGAGGAAGGGAGTAAGCATCTCCTTTGGCATGGTGACAGACTTTTAGTGACATTATCTACATAATGCTCACAATACTCCTATGAGATAGCCCTGAAAAGTTTAGAAAATTGCCCAGAGTCTCCTAGTGCATGAATGGATGAGGCTCAGATATGAATTTAGGCCCAACTAAAGCTGAAGCATGGTGCTTTTCTGCTGTTCTCAGCTTAAAGAACAGGACTCAGATAAGATGGTAAGAGACTCCTTTTTAATTTAGCTGATAGAAAGTTAGCATTCAAAGCCAGATGAACCTTGGAGATCAAAACATATGAGTCAATCAACTATTGCGTCCCAAAGATATCTGTTTATTATAAAATTATATAAACAGCTGATTCCATAATTATTTTACAAAATATATAATTATCTTTGGAAAAATTCACTGACAAGTGCTAGAGGTAAAATCTCAGGGTCTAAGAAGCAGCCCCTACAACTGTGCATGGTAAGGAGAGCGGTATTTGTCATACTGCCCTGGAGAAGGAAGGAGAAAAGGAAAAAGGACAATACAACAAGCAAACTAAGAAAAGTCTGGATTGAACTGTCAAATGTGTTACGTTTTTATAACATAAGTGAGTAACAAATAAGGGCAGGCAGATACCCAGACAGACTGTAATCGTGGATTTTTAAGAATGTCAGCTTCTTCTTCTGTCTCTTCTACCAGGTCTTTCATAAAGTGCATGTTAACAAATGTTTTATTCCAGGAGATCTGAAGTATTAAATATAGGCCAAGTGCTTTGGACTTCTACAGCCCAGGGAGGTTCAAAGCAATCTCACCTAGATTATAAACGGCAGGAAGGTCCCCAGCTCTTATGTGACAATCAAAACACACACACACTCTCTCTCACATATACTCACACAGATTGGTTATATTTCTCTCATCATGTTTTGGCTTCTAACCAGTTGAAGGGGTAAAAAATAAGACCTACTGTTTGACTTGGCCAACCATTGAGACACGGGCAGACTCCAGATTTCTAATTTGGCCACTCTTCACACTAGAAAGAGGGGAAAAAGAAAGGGTTATTGGAGGTTATTCAACATCCATCTTATTATGTCACTAGAGTCAAATGACTAATTAATTCTGTGGATTCTGTGGGACCTACTAAGAAATTTGCTTACTTCTCTCTACTGGCTAATGTGGCTATAAGACAGGTAATGAAAATGAAATAAAGACATCGCAGCCATTTCAATTCTGAAAGTATTTACCAAGAGGTTATGTTCCAGGCCTGTGCTCAAGCAGCATATAACTCAATAGGGAAGGGAGTGGGGAAGGTAGGAAACAAAAAAGCTACTTTTAATATAACACAAGATTCAAAAGAAGCACCTTATTCTGAATAAGGAAGTAAGAGAAAGTTTCTGTCTAAACTGAGGACTGAAGATGAGAAATTAACTGAAAGATAAAAGAGGGTGGTCAGAGCACTCTAGACAGAGGGTACACTGTGATGTGAAAAGGTCAGCAGAATGATTTTTTTTTTTTTTTTTAGAATGATGATTTTAAAGGATAGAACACAAGTAGCGGAAGAGAGCAAAGGGAGAATATAGCAGAATAGGAGAGGTTGGTAGGGCTAGGTCCTAGAGGTCATGCCATATTGTAGTTTAGACTCTTCTCATACTTGTCTACCAATCTTGTTTCTCTGTCTACTAGGAATCACAAACATACTAGATAGACATCCCATTTCTCTACTATCCTATACAATAAAACTTCATAAACTAGTTATCTTATTTCCTTTCTCCACTTTGTCATCTCCCATCCTTTCACAAACCTGTATCAGTTTTTGTCTCCAATTAGTTTCTGAAATTACTTTTGTTAAGACCACCAAGACCTCAGTTTTGCCAATTCCAATAGTCCTCTCTTGGTCCTCATCTTACTTGGTCTCTCAGCATTTCGCACAGCTCTCGCTTTTCTTCTAGAAACACCTGTTATACTCTCCTGGTTTTCCTTCTACCTCATCAATTATGCTTTCTCAGTTTCCTTTATTGGATGTTTCCATTCTCCCCAATCTCTAAATGATATGGAGTATTCCAAGGCAGTCTTATTCACATCAAATTCCTTAGTTTTAAGTATCAGTTGAGTAATGATGAGTCTCCAATATAGCTCTAGCTAAACATCTTCTAGTATATACAATTTTTTCCTTAGATGTGTAACAAGTATTTCAGCTTATCCAAAGAAAACCTGCCCCTTACCTGCTCCCAAATTTACTCCTTTGGATCTACCATTTATCTAATTGGCCAACTAAAAATCTAGAAATCAGTCCTGATTTCTTTTCATCCTCTCTGTTTTTCATTTTCTTATCTTTTCTCTTCCAACATATAATCTATATGCAAGTCTTTTCAGATCTCTTTCAAAATACATTCCGAAGCTGACCTTATCCCTATCTGTTGCCTTCCTTGTATACATGCATCATCATCACTCTCTCCTATGCTGCTACAATAAATATTCTCTGAACCAATGTCCCACTTTCACTTACCACCCTAACTCCCCAGCCCCTGATCTATTTTCCTCAGAACAGCCAGAGTGGTAGACCCAAGATTCAAATCCATATCTGTTGCCTCCAAAGCTCAGACTCTTAATGACTATCCCCTACTGCCTCCCATTCGGAAGATCAAGAGAGCAAAGTAGGAATCCACTTTTCTTTAAACCTTTACTGAATTTCTTAAAAGTCTGGAATAGCCAAAGTGGCCAGGAGTCATAAACTCGATTCAGCTATCCAGACAATATAAAATAAAATTAACAACCACACCTCACAGCATTCTTTCAGATTCTTGGGCTTAGAAAGTGAGCTCTGAAGATCACTGGCTCTCACGGAACAGAGGACATCTTAATATTCAACAAATAAAATTCTTATTATCTCTTGTATCTAGCAATGCAATAAAAACTCTTATCTCTTTTAAGATAATGCATACCATGATCCCAGAGGTAGACTGAATACCTGTTTCTTTTCTGTATACCCCGTGCTTCCTTCATTGTATTGTGTTAAAATGTTTATATTCTCAGTTTTTTGATAATCCATTTCCCCATCTTAGATCAGGTACTAACACATCTTAGGCACTAAACATTTTTTTTTTTAATGAGCTAAAAAATACTGATTTAGAATAATTTTCTCCTGGTTGTTACTGTAGTGTTGGCAAGGTGCCTGAGATATATGCCCAGCGGACAGTAGCTACATTCTTAATGTTCCAGCTACTCAACAGAGAGACAGATTTGGTGCCTCGTAGAGAACAGGAAACCTCTGTCATGGACATGAACAAGGGAGTGGTAGTAGCAATCTTACCAAACTCTAACATAATTCTGGCAAGCCATATTGTGGACATGAAGAGACCCTCTGTACTAGGAAAACTCCCTAGGATATATTTACTATTGAATTCTGGCTCCTACAGGTTTCACTTGATAATACCGGATTCCACTTGATAATATCTGATTCAGTTAACTGATATGTTCTGTCTGCTAGGGCAACCAGTAGTATTCTATATGCTGCGTGAAAGTACCAAAGAAATACAGAACAGCTCCTGACCTTAAGATGCAGGAAGAGCACTTTTTATAAAACTTAAAACATCAATGGAAATTCAGACATCAATAAAAATAATATGGGGATATTTCTCAAGGGAGGACTGGCAGACTTGAGTAAATAGTACAACATAATACAGATTTAAAGGTCTTTGGAACTTGACTGATGGTTTGAGGGAGTTACAGAAGGGTTCTGAGAAAGGACAGGAGATAGATTTAGAAGAATAGGTAGGAATACAGAATGATGAAGATATTTTATTCCAAGACTGATCTCCTTGCAAGGAAGAGTAGTTTACTCATCTCTGAATCTTTACCCTTTATTAAAAGTGTAAAGAGTTTAATAAGTCTATTCAAATGATTGATTAATGAATAAAACCATGACTGAAAGCCTTTAGTTAAGTGAAAGCCATAGCCAATTCTGCCAGCGATTTTTATGAAAACTAAATACCGAGCTAAATTATTTATCCACAATAAAAGCTGGAGAAAGAATTTTATACCCGACCTCTCTGTTTTTCCACCATTTGATCTGGAATACAGAAAATGAATCTAGATCCACAGTATCAGAGGCAGAAAAGGCCTTAGCAACCACTTAGTTCAAACTATCACCTTAGAGGGGGAAACAGAGCAGATGATCCAAAATTATTAAGATTTTAGGATTATAGTATACTGAAAAAGGAATGGGCTTTAGAGTGAGACAGCCAAGTTAGGAATATTTAAATTATTCAAAAGAAATCTTTGCACAAATGTTTCCACTCAAGCTATAACAATAAAGCTCAGGCTTAGAAATTGATTTTCTATTCCTTTGAACATGGTACTTGAATTGAGAAAAAAGGAAAGCTACAATCTAACAAGGAGCTCTGGTAGCGTAGTGGTTACGAATTGGGCTGCTATCCTCAGGGTCAGCAGTTCGAAACTACCCCAGGAGAAAGATGAGGCTTTTTGTTGCCATAAAGATTTACAGCCTTGGAAACCACATACAGGCTCACTATGAGTTGGAACCGACTCCACAGCACATAACCACCACCACCACCACCATCACAATCTAACATTTAAATAAAGAAAACTGAGATTTGTGGGTTACTACCTCCATTCAATGGCATTCTCCAGAGACTTGAAGGTTTTAGGACGACCACGTAAGAAGTTCTGCATGCTGTTAAGAGCATCCATGGCTGTACCTAGATATTAAAACAAAAATTTTAATCATAGTAGGTAATGTATTTTGATCATTTACATTTATCCGAGTCATATATGTGTGTGTGTGTGTGTGTGTATATGTATATACACACACACATATATATGTACCACATGTATCTGTTCTCAGTGACAACAGAACTCAGTGATTGTGGGGAAAAGGACACAGTTTAAGAAAACTCTGAAGATAATCAGGTGGGCGAGGGCAAAAGAGAGTTACTGCTTAAGGGGCACTGAGTCTCTATTAAGGGTGATGAAAAAATTTGGAAACAGTTGTGATGGTTATACAAATGGTTAATGCAATTAATGCCACTGAACTGTACATGTAAAAAAGGTTGAAATGGCAAATGTTTTATATATTTTTTTACCATAACTTAAAAAAAAAATGCATTTTAAAAGTAAATTTAGAAACAAACATAACTCAGAAGATTGTTGTGATGGCCTCCAATGACTTTTGCCTCCTGGTGTGCACTACCTTCTATAGTGAATAGGATTGACCTAGACAACCACAATATGACTTCTGAGGCTATGTCATAAGAGACATGGCAACTTTCTCCTTATTCTCTCTTGGAGCATCACTCTGATGGAAGCTAGTCATGCAGACACTCAAGCAGCCCTATGGAGAGGTTCACATAGAACTGAGGCCTCCTGCCAAAAGCCAGTATCAACTTGCCAGTCACAGGAGTGAATCGTCTTGGAAGCAGATCCTATTACCTCATGTAAGTCTTCAGATGACTACTGTTGTTGTTGTTAGTGCTGTCGAGTCGGTTCTGACTCATAGTGACCCTGTATAGGGTTTCTGAGGAGCAACTGGTGAGTCTGAACTGCCGACCTTGTGGTTCAAACCAACCTTGCAGTCCAGTGATTATCCTACACTGGACCCCAGGACTTCCAGATGACTATATAGTTCTTGCAAACATCATGACTGCAGCTTCATGCAAAGATCCCAAGGCAAAAACACCAAGCTAATAAGCTACTCCTGAATTACTGACCCACAGAATTGTGCAATAAAAAATGTTTATTACTGTTTAAATTTAATAAATTTTTAAGTAATCTGTTATGCAACAATACATAATGGATATGGTGGTGGTGGGGCTTATGCACCGTGGAGTTGGTTCCGACTCATAGCGACCCTGTATAGGGTTTCCGAGGCTATTAATCTTTATGGGAGCAAAAGTCTCATCTGGTAGTTTCAAACTGCTGACCTTGAGGTTCACAGTCCGATTCATAACTGCTACACTACCAGTGCTCCTTACATAATTGATATTACAGAGTAAAATTCTCAAATCTAAATCCTCTGAATCTTTTCAATTTATTTTTTTATTGTAGTAAAACAAATGCTAGGTTCTAGAGGGGAGAACACTCTTGGGATTGGAAACACACTGAAAAGTCACTAACAGGTGACCTTTTATCTAGAATCTAAAAACATTAGTTAATATAGGGAGGAACATGCATAGGTTATTTCTAAGTGTTGATTTTTACCTTTATAAAAGACTTAAAGTTATTTTTTTCTATTACTAAAAATACTTTAATATAACCTTTTATTAAAATGTTTGGATATACAGTGAAACCTGTAAGAGTCAGAACTCAATGGGTCTACCTTGCTTTTCTGGGTCTTCCAAGTAATCTGCCTTTGACAGGATACAGCTTATCATTTTTTTATCACTCTGTATTAGTGGAAAATATTTGAGTTTTCCTCTCTTACGGGTTCTGATTTTGCATGTTTTGCTGCAGAGAAACTCTCAGGAAAAGAGCAAACTGCATGACGCTGATTACATTGGTGGAGTCTGCCTACATCTCTAGTGTTATGAACTAGACATTGCTTAGTCTACAGCGTCTTAAGGTAGCTTCATTTAATTTAACTGCCTGTCAAATGACTTCCAGTAGGCAGAGGAGTTTAAAGACTGAATATTCAACTTATACTTTTCTTTTTTTTAAGCTTTTATTATGAACTGAGTGATAGTTTACATGGGAGAACATTGATTTTGTACTCAATCAATCGTATTTGCTTCATTGCAATGACTACAATCCCCTCCATGTATCATCGGTTAACAGTATTTGCTTCTATTCCCTGTTTCTTTATTTTTGTTTTGTTTTTATGTACACAAAAACATGCAGGAGTATATAAACATTCAAACAACCAAAGGGCACACATTCTGCAAGCCTGCCTCCTGGCTGTCAGCACACACACAGCCTTTCTCTTTCCATGAGTCTAGAGTACTCAGCTGCTCTAGCTCTTCATGCCATCACCTCTGCCTCCATCTCTGATGTTGCTGCTACTCTGGTTAGGTTCCTACTTCCTCCATTCATGCTCTTCTCTCTTAATGGTCCTAGGGTTCTCTGCTCCTAGAATGTAAGATTAACTACTCCCCCCTTTTTGTTACCTTTACAGTAGTGACAATTCCAATTAGTCATGATAACAATTACTCACTATTGAATCAAAATAATCTTATCCCATCTCCTTTCACCAGACTCATCTAGACAAGATGAAAAGTATTCATTGGGGATTCTACCTTCCCCTGCACACTGAAACTAAACTCCCTCTTGAAAACTTGTAAGCCAGCCACTTCATGCCTTTATTACCCCCATACACACCCATTTTAGGTAGCCAATGTCTAAGTTGCCCATCCATATCAACTCTGTATACCGAAAGGATAGGCTTGATCCTTGATGTGAAGACTCCTTCCTTCTCGATTGGTATTTTGAGTTACTACATCTGTAAGTATACGTAAAGTTCATCAAATTGTAGCAAGTTCCATTTGGTTCCTTTAAATTAAATTTCTTTATCTTTCCTCTAGTCGAGTTCAGATCAAGCCATCGAAGGTAGGTCAAATGGGTACTATCTGCAAGTTTGGGCATTTTTGTGCATCTAACCCACACTTCATGATACTTCACTCTCAGCTCTCATCCAATGTGGCTAGATCAGTGTCTGTGGGCTCAGGAGGTATCGAGTCTCCCCAAACTTCACACCAACCAACCCATCTTCTTTTATCTTGAGGTTGACAGGAGTCTATGGAACGTGGTCAAACTCAGCCCATATCTTCATTACTGACTTTTCCCTACTTCCATTCACATGTAGACCAACACAGTCGCCAGCGAGCTTACATGCCTCCTTGTATGTTCCCTTTGAGTTTCAATCTTGGAGGGGGGTTTGTCCTGAAGGGACTTGATTGCTTGCTTTGATAGTTCCCCAGCGAACAGCTTGCTTGTTCTTGTAATAGCCAAACAGACTGCCATTTTTTATTTTGTTTTTACCTGCTAGTCTTTCTTTCAATAGTAATTTCTGTTCCTTTAGCCGCTCCAGGCTGGTCTGCATGTACTTTCAAGTAGGAATGTCCCACCTCAGAAGGTTCTGGATGGGACTCTCAATACATACTTTTGCCTGGGCCCTAACAAAATTCACTCCTTCTGGATAAAGCAAAGTAGAAGATCCAGTCATACGTGGTTGGCTCTTGTCTTCTGATTCTAACTAAAAGGCCATACGTTTTGGGAAACCAGGATAATATATACATTTTTTAAATGCCCATGCCCACTGATCCACTATTTCTACTTTGGGGCACCTAACCTAAAATACAAGATAATATTGCAAAATCTTATAAGTAAAATTCATATAAAAATACTATTCATATGCAAAATTTGGGGAAAACCTAAATGCCTATCAATAGACGAATGGATAAGGCAAAATATAGTAAATAATTACAGTGGAATACTACTGAGAGATATGAAATCTTGATTGTTGTTGTAGATGTTAAGTGCCACCAACTCAGTTCCAACTCACAGCAACCCTGTTACTGTTACAGAAACACTCATAGAGTTTCCAATGAATGGCTGACGAATTTGAGCCACCAATTTTACAATTCCCAGCCTAGTGCTTATCCTATAGCACTACATCAGGATTCTATTAATTGTACATCTATGTATTAAGTTGTACATCTATAAAAAGTTAAATTTACCAACTTTTGTGTGATAAATATGTTTACAACAATGGAAAAAAGAGAAACTGCTAAAGTTGCTTATGTACATTCAAACAGCTCAAGGGATTTGGCTTCTGGGTTTGGAGATTTACGTTCATGTTTTCAGGGATATCCCAATTAACTGGCGAATAAAATGCTTGGTGCTTCTGTGTTCCACCTCCTAGTTTGTTGTGTAGAGCCTGAGAATCACAAAAAGCTTGCAAGTGACCATCAGGACACAACGATTGGACTGAACTGTTTTTTCTTATCATGAAAAAGCCAGGACAAGGGGCGTAGAGAGGGAAAGAGAGTTTAAAAACAAAACAGGCCGAAAATTAAATTAAATCCCAAGGTACAGCATAACATCCAACAGTGGCATCATGAAATCTCCCAGACAGCTTTGAAGGCAAGAAGCTGAAAGAGAACATTAAAGTCATACTCATATTAGGCTACAGATTTTTTTTTTTCTTCACTCCCTTTTCTGTGATTATAGACTACAGTATCCAGTCTAGTTTTTTTTTTTTGCTGTTGCTGTTTTGATGTTTTATGCTCCCCCTTCTACCTGGGGGATTCTTTCTCTTCCCATATTATCCCAGAAGAGACAGCAACTGCTGCCATAGAGTCAAGCTACAATAACACTCTATAAAACACCAAAAACCAGGCAAGAACCAATACCAACTGCCATATACCAAGGAAACAGACAACACGAGTGAAATTTACTCTTGGTTAAGCAATAAGAAGAGTAAAAATGGAAGCCCACATCCTGATCACATCTACCTGGAAGCAATCATAAAGCATAAAAAAATACCAAAACACACACTCAATTTATTAAGGCCACAGATTAACACTAAACATGTCCAAGAATCAAAAGCAGATAACCATATCAGCACATGTCCAGAAACAAGATAAAATGTCTGAGACAAATGACCTAGAGGTAGAGCTGGACTACATTCTGGAAGGAAGACAACCCTTGGAATTGCCTGAGAAGGAATTCAGAAAAATGATTATAAAATGTTTCAAAACACTTTACA